AACTGGTAGCGCGCTCGCCTGGAGTGCGTGTGGCCCGGGTTCGATCCTCAGCACCACATACCAACAAAGATGTTGTGTCTGCCGAGAACTAAAAAATAAATATTAAAAATAAAATTCTCTCCTCTCTCTCTCTCTAAAAAAAAATAAAAATAAATAAAAATAAAAACTGAAGAATACTGAGAAATCTCAAACCATTTGCTATCGTTTGAAAGTGTCCCCTAAATTCCAGAGGCTGAGGCGGATATAGGGGTGCATACCTGTAATCCCACCTATTTGGGAAGCTGAGGCAGGAGGATTGCAAATTAGAGGCCAGCCCCAGCAACTTAGCGAGACCTTATCTATACAAAAATTTTTAAAAAGGGCTGGGGATTGTAGCTCACTGGTCCAGCAACTGTGGATTCTATCTCCAGTACCGCAAAAAAAGAAAAAAAAATGCTTGTTAATGACTACATTTTGCGGTATGACCTAAGTGCAAGCCCCTCGTGTACATAATTGAATTTGAATCAGTGAAACCAAATGTTCTCATCTGGGTTATTTACAAAAGTAAACTCTTAAGTGATGGTGTAAGTCTAGATTTACAGAAAAACTGCCACCATAGTGCACAATCTCCTCCCTGCCCTTCATCCCATTTCAGCCACGGCAGTCTGGCGCTGCATGGTTCAAGGCTAGAATAAACACTGGTCCTTCGCATCAGCTAGCTCCAGGCTTTATTTGGATTCTCCCAGCCTCTCCACCTACATTCCTATTCTGTTCCAGGATCCAGTCCAGACCCCCGTGCTGCGAGCACTTCAGGGACCTTGTGATTGCACAGGCGTCCTCAGCTGATGCAGGAGGGCACTCCTGGGGACCCATCTGTCACTCACAGCTGGGAATGTGAGCTCCTGATCACCCCTCCCATCCCTCGGTGCCTGAGGACTCTCTTACTGAGGGATGTTAACCAGGGGTAAGAACGAAAGACCTGAAGAATCGCCCATGGTACTCCCACCCCACGGGGGGCTTCCTGTAGGCGCCCCCAGAGAGCCAGGGAGAGAGGGGTGCTCATCCTCAGATTCCATCAACAGACACTGACTGAGCCTCTACTGTGCGCAAGGTCCACATGGGGGGAGACAGAGTTGAATAAGCCCTTCTCTCGCTTTTAAGGGCTGCCATCCAGCCAGAGAGACAGCCTGACCCCCAACTCTGGAGGTGGGGCTGAGACACAGGTAACTGGGCAGAGACAGAGATGAGGAGATGTGCTTCACCGGGGAAGACTGAAGGCGAACCAGGCCCGAAAGGAGGGTGGGATTTCAATGGTAACGGCAAAAAGGAACAGTGTTGTAACTGAAGGAACAGCAGAGGCCAAGGTGCAGAGGCGTGAGAGTTGGGGGCAGGGGCTCAGGACTCCTGGAGCTGAATGTAAGGGGAGAAGGGCCCCAGGAGGGTAGCAAATGCTGGGGCAGGAAATCCACCCTTCTCCTGCAGGCAGTGAGAAGCACCTCAGAGTCCCACACAGGGAAGATGGGAGCCATGTGTCTTTTAGGGAGGAGCTTGTGGCAGTAGGACAAGAGGGTGAAGGATCACAGGAACGGAAGAGGATGAGGCAGGCAGAGCAGAGACGGAGATGGACAGTGGCTGGGATACGAGGATGGGGTGGAGGTGGGGTGACAGAGACCACAAGACAGAGGGACAGAAAGTGGGGAGCTGATGCCAATCTATTGAAGGGGCCGGTTGGACCAAGGGATTTTGAGGTTGAAGATCCCTCCCCAGAGGTCACACTGAGCCTGGTGCTCAGGTATAAATGAGGCATCATCCATGAAGAGGAAGTGGCAGAGGGTCCTCTGGGCAGAAGAGGAAGCTTCACAGGGGTCATGTCTGCAATGCCTGTCACCCACAATCTATGACCCCTGCATAAGTCCTTCAGGATCCTTGTCACAGGAGGTCAAAGCTTTTCCTGGGCTAATAACATCGCCACGTGTGCACCCCTCATAGAAATGGTCTCACTGCCTGCCCCCAGCTCCTAGTCTCCTGGACTGCAGCATGCACAGTCCCATCACAATCTGCTGCCACCCCACTCTCAGCCCCTGGCCCTCTTGGGCCCACATTTTCTAGCCACTGACAACTTTCCCTGCATTGTGTGGCTGGGAACCCCCTTACCTTCCGCAGACCGTGGTCTTTTCAATCTTCAGGTCTGGGCTCCCTATCATCCTAGGGACAAGGCACCACACAGGTCTTTCTCCTGCCCTCTGTGGTTCATCAGTTATGGGCCGCGGTGGGACTGTGAGCCTGGAGACCATATCCCGTCCTCTCCAGGGTTCCAACTACCAGCGCAGTGAATGAGCAGGAAGTATTTGCCTGAATTTGTTCTAGACTTCCCACTTTAAAGATTCAAAGGGAGCATTTTTCTTCCATCATTGTAGGCCCTCCTATAATGAAATCTCCTCACCCCAAACAGGGTCTTCCTGACGTGGGGCTATTGACCTATTGCACACTAGATGATATTGGTTAGAAACTTTCCCCAACTGGGCTGGCGGGGTCCTTCACGTTCCCAGTTTACACATTTAGTCCTCTGTCTGTACAACAAATATTAGGCTGGTTTGCGCCAGGCTCTGTTGAGGACCTCAGGACACGGTGGAACACGTGGACGCAAGCCGGCCTTCGAGGTAGGCATTAAACGGTCATCGCGTTGGTGGCGTATTCCTATAAACCCAGCGACGCTGGACGCAGGAAGATCGCAAGTTCGAGATCAGCCTCGACAACTTAGTGTGACCCTGTCTCAATACATAAATAAATAAATAAAGCGAGCTCCCGCCCCTGCTCGCTGTGGGTGCCCGCTGGGCAGCTACGGGTACTGCGCTAGGGCCAGGGTCCCGCCACCCGCGCGCCCAGCAGAGCATGATCCGCTCCCTCCGACGCCGCCCGGGTGCAGCGGGGGACTTTGGAGGCTGTGAGCCACCTCCCAGGGCTCCGCAGCTCAGTCTCCGCCGCGCGGCTCGGCCTCCAGGGCAGACCACACAGGGTCTCCGGGGCTCTGCAGATGAGCCTCCGCCAGGCGCTGGGAGAGCGGAGGGGAGGCGGGGCCGGCACCTGGGGCGGGGCCTGCGCCGGGGCGGGGTCTAGGGGCGGGGCTGCGGCCGGGACCTGTGATCCGGGCGACAGCTCTCCTCCTTGGGGCCGCGACCTCGCCAGGCCGGAGAGACTGCCGCGCGCCGCGGGAGCGGAGCGATGGGTGAAAACGCTGGGCCAGGGCCCCTTAGACTAGACCCGGGCGGGGGAGGCCACGCGCGAGCACCCAGGTGCCCACCCATCTTCTCGGGCCCGTGAGCAGGGACAGTGACCGCCCCCGCACTCCTGAGTGTCGAAGCTTCTTCATCTGCTGTCCCGGGAGCTAGCCGAGCCAGACCAGCTGGAGGGTGGGCGCCCACGCTGCCGCGCGTGGCCGCCCAGGGTCTCGGGAGGAGAGAAGCGTGGGTATCTGGGGGCGCAGAGGTCTCCAGCCCGGCAGGGGGAGCCCACGGGGGAAAATGTCAGCGCCGGGCCAGACCAGAGCAGGGTAGGCCCGAGGCAGCGCGGTGCTGGGCGGTAGCGCCCGGGGCGTGGAGTGGTGCTGCCAGCTCCAGACCCGCTGTGCATCGCGTTCCCCTGCACGACCTTGGGCATGAAGTAGACCTCCTGCTGTGTGAAGCGATGTTGTGGGGAGTGGAGAGTTCGCTGTGTCAGGTGCCCAGCACCCACGTGGCCCTCAGTAAAGGCTGAACCCCGTCTGTCCAAAGTTTTCATTTCCAAGCCTCCAGTTATCCGAGGTCCAAAAATATCCAATAGCAACTCCAGTTTGAAATTGCCCACTATTGTGAGTAACGTGATAAAATCCAGCTGCCTGAACGGGACTCACCTTCACCTTTTGTCTCTCCTAAGGTATTTTGAGAGAAAGAGAAAGAGAGAGAGATCAGTCGCATAACTTTTGTTTGCTGCCCTGGGATTGAAACTAATTGGCTCTTGCTGGTGATGCTCTACCACCCAGCTGCATCCACCAGTGCCCTCCACCTGTTGTACTGGCGTTATTTATTTTATTTTATTTTCACTAAGTTACCCAGGCTGTCCTCAAACTTAGGATCGTCGTCCTCAGCCTCCTAAGTAGCTGGGGGTTACATGTGTGTGATATCTTACCCTGCTCCACATAACTTTTAATACAGTATATTGTTATAACTGTTTTATTTTATTATTAATCTTTTTCTCTCTTTTTTTGGGGAGTCCTGGGGATTGAACTCAAGAGTACTCTACCATTGAGATCTAGCTCTTGTTTTTGTTTTTTGTTACTGGAGATTGAATCCAGGGAGCCACATCCCCAGGCTTATAACTAACTATCCCTCCCTCCCTTCCTTCCTTCCTTCCTTCCTTCCTTCCTTCCTTCCTTCCTTCCCTCCTTCTTCTTTTGTGCTGAGGATTGAACCCAGTGCCCCAGGCATGCCAGGAGAGCGCACTACCACTTGAGCCACATCCCCAGCCCCAACTTTATTTATTTTTATGTGGTGCTAAGGATCGAAYCCAATGTCTCACATGTGCAAGGCAAATGCTCTACCACTGAGCCACAACCCCAGCCCTCATTGAGTTTCTTAGGGCCTCACTAAATTGCTGACCTGGCTTTGAACTTGCAATCCCCCTGCCTCATCCTCCCGAGCCACTGGGATTACAGGTGTGCACCACCATGCCTGGTATCCCTAGCTCTTTTTAATTTTAAGGCAGTGAATTGCCAAGGCTGGCCTTGAACTTTTGATCCTCCTGCCTCAGCCTCTGGAGTCCTCAGGATTATAGGCATGTGCCACCATGCCCAGACTTTACCCCACTTTTACAGAAAAGGAAATTGGGACACAGAGACATTTCAGGAACTTGCCCAGGGTCACACAGCTAATTAGTGGTGGATCCAGGCCACCCAAACCCCAGCCCACTCTCCAGTTCTGCCCCGGTACAAATGGGTGCATTCTACCAAGCCTGCCAAGGCTTTCTCTCCCTCCTCTGGGTATCTGCACACCCACGTCTGGCAGGGGTCCAGCAGGGGCCAGGGCAGGGGTCAGTGGTGCTCATGTCCTGGGAACACTGGGCCTAGATGAGGGCCCAGGAAGGGCTGGCTTCATGAACAAACTAGTGAACAAATGAATGTCGTGGGTCCTTCAGGTCTGCTCTCAGAGCTCAAGCTGACAGTGCCCTGGGGCCACATTGCTGCCAAAGCCTGGGGCTCCCTGCGGGGCCCCCCAGTTCTGTGCCTGCATGGCTGGCTGGACAATGCCAACTCCTTCGACAGACTCATCCCTCTCCTCCCACAAGGTAGGGCAGGGGTGAAGGGAAGCTGAGGGGCCGCCTGCAGTGAGAAGCGGCTGATGGGGACCCTTCTCCTGCCCTTATCTCTGGCCCAGACTTCTATTACGTTGCCATGGATTTCGGAGGTCATGGGCTCTCGTCCCATTACGGCCCAGGTGCCCCGTATTACCACCAAAACTTTGTGAATGAGGTCCGGCGAGTCGTGGCAGGTGAGCAGGAGGCCGGGGTGTGGGGGTGCCCTGGGATGCGCCCTCTGTGCTTGCAGCTGGGTGTGGCTCTGGTCTGGCCCCAGTTCCACCAGCAATTCTTGGGTGGAACTGGGGAGAAAGCTCTTCTCCAGGAAGAGCTCCGTTCCTCCAGTGCCCCCCTAAACTGGTCTCCTGGGGGAGAGGGATTTTCCCAAGCCTGGGACAGCAAGAAAGAGGCCCGTGGGGGCGCCATCCAGACCTCCTGCTTTATGTATTTTCAGCCTTGAAATGGAGCCGTTTCTCTCTCATGGGCCACAGTTTCGGTGAGTACCCTTTGACCAGCGACTGACTGGCCTCTTGCAGGGGCTGTGGGAGCCCAGGAGTTGGCACCTGCTTCCTTTCTCTGCACCTCTGAGAACCGCAGAGACACAGATATCTTGGACATTGACCTTTGGCCTCTGTGCCCTCTGACCTCAGACATGTGGCTCAAAGGTGGCTATTCTCTGACCTGATGAGGGAGAGGTGGCCCCATGAGTGGACATGTCTGGAAGGGGTCTGATGAGCCAGGGGAGGGGGCCTGAGTTTGAGAAACAAAGCCCTGGCTGGAGCCAGGGTATGTCTGCTGACTGCTCCTTTGTCCTCTTTTTGTCCCCAGGAGGCTTTGTAGGCAGCATGGTGAGTAGATGGCTTTGCTCTGGCCACCTGAAGTGGTGGGAGTGGGGGAAGCAGGAGGAGGAAGTTCCCCCGGACAGGAAGGGCCTCCTCACGGTTCCGTAGGGCCCTCTCGGCAGCCGGACAGCACATCATGGTAGTAGTCGCCCTCGTGAGGAAGTTGGTGTCAGGAAGTGGAGACTCCTGATAGAGTTCAGAGTTCCCACATTCCCGCCCATCAAGGGGACCCTGGAGTCCAGCTGTCACCAGGGTCTGGAGCTGGGTGCGGGTGCAGACTTGGGGGGTCCAGGGGAGGAGCCTGAAGGGACAGAGGGTTCTCACTCTGACCTCTTGGGGGCCCCTTCGCCCAACCAAAGCCTTTTCAGGAAGCGCAGGGGAGAGCTGTGTCCTCGCTCGGCTCACCCTCCCCTTTCTGTTCATCTAGTTTTCCTGCATCTTCCCTGAGATGGTGGATAAACTTATCTTGTTGGACGGGACGCCGTTTGCCATGGACACTGATGTAAGGAGGGGGCTTCGTGCCGGCTGCCATGGGAAGCCCCAGGCCCGGCTGGTGCCCTCAGCCCTGTCTCCTTTGGTAGATCAGGGAAGCTGGAGGAGGTGGCGGGGTGGACCGGGTCGGGGAACCTTCACAGAGGGGAGCAGTCCATGCTTGTACCCAGGAGTGGTCAGGGGAGGGCCCGTGGAACCCTGTGTGTGTCCTGGGAGCCACAGAAGGCAGGTGGATCRTGGGAGGGCGGGGTGGAAGAGGAGAGGAACTGCAGGTTGAGGAAGTGCGGAGGACACAGCCCGTGAGCCCACGACACTCACGCTCAGCCAGATTACTTTGTGCCATGCACACTTGCACAACCACACAGAGCACACTCGAGTGTGGACTGACCAGAAAAGTACTGACCCCTCCAGCTACCACCACCAATAACAGCCAGTGCTGTCCCTTTATCTGAGACCTGGCTCTGTGGTTTACGATCTGTGTAGCCCCAGGCAAGTCACTTGGCCTTTCTGAGCCTCAGTGTCCTCACCTATAAAATGAGAAGTTGCACTTAGTGCTCTCGGAGATCCCTGCCCGCTCTGGTGGTCTGCTGTTCTCTTTCGGAAGGCTCAGCTCTTGGTGGTGACACATCTATTTCATCAGTTTCAGTTTTCTTATCTGTAAAATGACCACAGTTCTGCAAGGGCAAGAACATATCTTTTTATCGCCATGTCCCGGGGCCATGCTTAGTAGTAGGTGCTCAGTAAGAGCCCTTTGCATGAACCGTGGGCAACTCGCGGACCGCCAGGACTGACCTGCTTTCTTCCTGTATTTCCCCATTGATGGGACAGACAGCACCCAGGGCCCCCTCCTGAGGCTGGGTGAGCGCTTGGGTCTCCCTGTCCCCTATTCTCAGGTGGGAGTGGGAGGGCCTGGCTCCACACCCCCTCGCCAGCGCTCCCACCAGCTGGCGTGGTGGCATTAGTTGAACCAAGTGAAGTCGCCCACCCTTGGTGGTCATGACTGATCCTCTGATATGTCTTTACAATGCACCTAACAGAGATGTCCTTCCTTCTCCATCATCCAACCTGGTCCCTGCAATGTCCCTGCAGGCAGGGTTGAACTGGCCATGGCTGTCAGAGGACTCACTGGGTATCACTAGCAGGGGCCCAGTGAGCTGGGCCAGGGAGGGGACCCCTAGTCTCTAGCCTGGAGCCCTGCCTACCCAGCCAATGGCAACCCCTAGGAGATGGAGAACTTGCTGACCTACAAGCGGAGAGCCATAGAGCACGTGCTGCAGGTGGAGGCCTCCCAGAAGCCCCCGCGTGTGGTCAGCCCGGAGGAGATGCTGCAGGGGTGGGTGTTGGGAGAGGTGGGGAGGGAGGCTGGGGCACTGCAGGGCACCCTGGGAGGAACCCTCTGCCACCCAGGGAAGACTCTTCCCACCCATAGTTCCACACAGACCTCTGTCTTCCTGTGGTTGCCCTGAGCACCAGCCTCCTGGTGGACGCCCCAGAGGGGCTCTATCTGCCTTTGTTCCATCCTAGGCGTTAAGCCATGACTGCCACCCTGCTCCAGTGGCCCTCCCGTCTACACACACACACACACACACACACACACACACACACTCACTCACTCTCCCTCCCTCCCCCTTCCTTGCTCTCCCTCCCTTCCTCTCCCTCCCTCCCCTTCCCTCCTTCTCTCTCCCTCCTCCTCCCTCCCTCTCCCTCCCTCCCCCTCCCTCCCTCTCCCTCTCTCCCCCTCCCTCCCCCTCTCTCCCTCCCACTCCCTACCCTGCCATCACCCTTCCTCACATAGTCTTCCCTCCTAGCTTCTAAGACTGCAGCTCCCCCAGCCTGACCTGTGATCCTCCCCTGCACCTCGCTGGCCTCCCCACTCCTGCTTCAGCCTCAGTGGGCTGCTTCCCTCTGGAAGCCAGCCATAACTACCCTTCCTTCCCTGGAGGTGACTGCCCTGTCCTGCTGACTCCCTGTCTCCTCATTGGCCAGGAGCCCCACAACCATGGATGGGGACCGTGGCCATTTGGTAACATCTGTCTGTCCTGCTCCTAGCAGTGTGCCCAGGGGTCAGGGCTCACAGTACTTACCATCTAGAGTGGAAACACACACTCATATTCATAGGACACGTAGCGACATGCTGGCACAACACACTGGCACGGCCTGCGGCACCCAGGCGCGTCCTTCCTGGGTGCCTCCCTTTCACCACCCTGCTCCCCTCTCCATCTGGCCCCTGGGCCGGCCGTGGCCTTCAGCATCCCTCTGTCCCCCCCCAGGTTCCTGAAGAACAACAGCCATGTGGGTGAGGAGTGCGGGAAACTCCTCCTGCAGAGAGGAACCACCCAAGGGGCCACAGGTAAAGGTCTCCCTCTCCAAGCTTTGTGGACTGTCACTGGCATGGCATCGAGGACTTGCATGGACCAGGCATGATACTTAGTGCTTAGTGCTTTGCAAACACGTCCGGGCTGCATTCAGGTCGTGAGCACCATCTGTTGGACTTGTGCAGTTTAAACAAAAACATTGGGGGAGGGGATAGGTCACCTGTATTTAAAATAGTAAGATTTTATGTAGAAATACAAATTCTGCTTTCTTTTGAAAAGTTGGGAGATCTGGCAACACATTCTGTTCCCTACAGACAAGGAGTAGCCCCACAGAAGCCCCTCTCCCTGTGAACAGGCACTGTGCCCACTCTGCCAGGCTTTTGCTGGCATCTGTGTCGGTGACCTCAGGAGGTCCCAGCAGAGGCCTTTGGGTTTTGGGGATTGGCTAACTTCACTTAGCATTATCTTCTCCAACTTCATCCATTTAGCTGCAAATGCCATAGTTTTATTCTCCTTTAATCCTGTGTAATATTCCATTTTGTATATGTACCACATTTTCTTTATCCATTCATCTACTGAAGGGCATCTAGATTGGTCCCACAGTTTAGCTGTTGTGAATTGTGCTACTGTAAACACTGATGTGGCTGTGTCCCTGTAGTATGTTGTTTTTAAGTCCTTTGGGTATAAACCTAGGAGTGAGATAGCTGGGTCAAATGGTGGTTCCATTCCCAATTTTCCATAGTGCTTTCCCTATTGGCTGCACCAATTTGCAGTCCCACCAGCAATGTATGAGTGTGCCTTTTCCCCCACATCCTCGCCAACACTTATTGTTGTTTGTACTCTTAACAGCTGCCATTCTGACTGGAGTGAAGTGAAATCTTAGTGTAGTTTTGATTTGCATTTTTCTAATTGCTAGAGATGATGAACATTTTTTCATATATTTGTTGATAAATTGTGTATCATCTTCTGAGAAGTGTCTGTTCAGTTCCTTGGCCCATTTATTAATTGGCTTATTTGTCTTTTTGGTGTTTAGCTTTTTGAGTTCTTTATATACCCTAGAATTACTGCTCTGTTTGATGTGCAACTGGTAAAAATTTGTTCCCAAGCTGTAGGCTCTCTGTTCACTTCACTGATTGTTTCTTTTGCTGAGAAGCTATTTAGTTTGAATCCATCCCATTTAATTCTTGATTTTTTTAATATTTATTTTTAGTGGGGCTGGGGATGTGGCTCAAGCGGTAGCGCGCTCTCCTGGCATGCGTGAGGCCCGGGTTCGATCCTCAGCACCACATACCAACAAAGATGTTGTGTCCGCCAATAACTAAAAAATAAATATTAAAAAAAATATATTTATTTTTAGGTGTAAATGGACACAACACAATGCATTTTATTTTTATATGGTGCTGAGGATCGAGCCTGGGCCCCACCCATGTTAGAGGAGCGCTCTGCGCTGAGCTACAATCCCAGCCCTTAATTTTTGACTTTAATTCTGGCACTGTAGGAGTCTTATTAAGGAAGTAGGGGCCTAATCTGACATGGGAAATTTGGGCCTACTTTTTCTATTAGACGCAGGGTGAGACCCAAATCTTGATCTGCAACTATRAAAGGAAGGAGGCAGAAGACAGGGAAGTGGACCAGCCCCAGGAGGGCTGGAATTGACTAGCGTGGGTCCTCAGGAATCAGGGTCCCTTGGTTTACGTGTGTGGACACCAGGGCCAGAGGGCTCTGCGGCCTTTGAGGGCATCCGTCCATTCGCACATTCAGCACATCTGACATACCAGCCTGAGCCCCCACCCTGAGCGGGCCGCGCTGCCTCACGCAGTGGGTGAGAGGGTGGGCAGAAATAGAGAAGCAGCCCAGCTCCCGCCCTCACAGAGCTCCCAGCTGGCGGGCAGCTGACAGGAAGTAACCACCACCCACCCACACACTGTTGGCCCAAGCAGCTGGGTCCTGCCTGGTGCTGCTCAGTGATGGGCAGAATGGATCCTTGGAAAGGCTGGAGGACGTGGCGTCGGACCTCAGGCCATAGGAGACGGTGCTACCCTCTGAGATAACCCCCTTTTTGATGTATGTTCCTATCCTTCGAGCTGCTAGAGCCTCGGGAGGAGGAAGATGGACCTTGGTGGGCTCTGGTCCTGCCAGGCAGTGAGGGCATCATGGTGAAAACCCAGAGAGCCAGGGGCCGCTGCCTGGGATTCAAGAGGCTGGGGTGATCTGTGGGTGTAGCAACCAGAACCTCCCAGGCACAGGGTCCTTCTAAGCATGCGGAGACACAAAGCCCTGGTTAGAACCTCTATCAACAATTAAACATTAGGGCTGGGGATGGGGCTCAAGCGGTAGCGAGCTCGCCTGGCATGCGTGCGGCCCGGGTTCGATCCCCAGCACCACATACCAACAAAGATGTTGTGTCCGCTGAGAACTGAAGAATAAATATTAAAAATTCTCTCTCTCTCTCTCTCTCTCTCTCTCTCTCTCTCTCTCTCTCTCTCTCTCCTCTCACTCTCTCTTTAAAAAAAAAAACAATTAAACATTACATTTATCATCTAAGAGTTCCATAATCTCTAATTAGAGTGGAAAACATAATAATTACGGAAAATATCTCTCCTTCATGTCTCTGTGATTGTTTCTTCCTCAGAGAGCCACATCCATGTTCAAATGTTGGCTTTCCAGCAAGGAGGCCTATCCCCGCCCTACTTCTTGGACATCCCTGGGGGTCATGGCTTTTCCAAAGGGGCTGGGCAGAGGTGTCCACCTAGACATGATTTTAGTTTCATTTTTCAATTTAATATTAACTTTTTTTTTTTAGCACATACTAAGTCACAGGAATAGAAAATCTCACAGTCTCGTTGTTCCCATCCATCTTTTTCCTCATCTCACCTGCAAGTTAATCCCCCTTCTGAGCTTTTTCACATTCATCTTGATCTGCTTTCTGTTGCTCTAACAAAATACCTGAGGCCAGGAAATTTATAAATAATAGAAATGTAGGGGCTAGGGCCTAGCTCGGTAGTGATTGCCAGGCATGGTTCAGTCAGAAGGAGATGAGGAGAAAAGAAGGTGCAAACGGACAGACTTCTTCCACTGTCCAGGTTCTGGAGCCGGGAAATCCAAGAGCACAGTGCAGGCATCTGCCCGGCATCTGGCGCGGGCCTTCTTGCTGCAGAGGGCATCACATGCAGGAGCGTCGGAGAGCGCTCCAATCAATCCTTTCATGAGGGTCACCTCCCAACGGTCCCCTCCAGATACCACTGACAGGTGAGATTGGGGACGAGACTTCCAAGACAGGAAATTTAGGACGTGCTCAAGCCACAGCGACATCCTTCCAGGCTTTCCTGGGTGAGCACAGGACTCCCCTCCACTTGTGTGGCTGGTCGGCACCGGAGAGTCTCCTTGGAGGCCTCCCTGGTAGGAAACTGGAGGCTGGTCCCCATGTTCCCTAATGGTGTCAGGCTAACTTAGCAGTCACCTGAGGAGGGACACTGGCTGTGAGTGGTCTGTGCTGTCCCCTGGCCATGTGGATGTCTGCACAGCCAAGGACGAAGGCAGGCACACAGACCAGAACCCAAACTGAGGCACCTCTTCCCTGGCCAAGGTGAGCGCAGGGCCTCCAAGACATTGCCAGTGTCCTCACAGCTGCGCCTTGGTGTCCTCTCAGCCAACTCTGCTGGCTGAGAGGCCTGTGTCCCTGGATGTCACTTGTTTGGAATTTTGTCCATTTCCTAAGAACTGGTATCTTCCCGTAGTTGTAGTTCTGTCCTCCTTYTTGGGTAGGACCTACGTTCCCTGCTTTTGCCCCTTGCCCTGCTCGACACCTGTATCTCAGTTTGAAGACATTTTCATCTGTGGGGAGACTGGATTGCAAATACCTTCCCCTGGGTTTTATTTTCTTTTGTCTTTAAGGTAGTTTCTTTTTTTTTTTTTCCTTCTTGCAATGAAGAATATTTTTATTACAATTGAATCTATGACTTTTTTATGGCCTCTGAATTTTGAGTTGTAGTTAAAAGCTCATGTTTGAGTCTAATACTGTTTTGTGTTTAGTATTTGCATTTAAACATTTAATACTGTGTACTTATCTAGTGTAGAGAATGAGGTTTGGATCTGACCTTATCTTTTTCCAGATAGCTCCTCGGTTGCCTAACACCTTTATTCTTTTTTTTCTTTCTTTTTTTTTTTTTTTTGCCACTACTGGGACCAAATCCAATGTTTTTCATATGCCCTCAGCCCTTTATAAATTTTGAGACAGGCTCTCATTAAGTTGCTGAGACTGGCCTCGAACTTGTGATCCTCCTGCATCCGCCTCTTGAATAGCTGGATTACAAGTGTGCACCACTGCACCCAAATTCCATTCTATTCTTTCCTGTTATTTTTCCAAGTGAATGTTAGAATCAGGTAGTTAAGTTAAAAAAAAAAACAAACTTTGTTGGTATGTTATTTATATATACATTGAAATATTAACAAGTAATAATGTTAATAGTAATAAYGTCTACTCATCATCCAACAAACAACAATAGAGAAGCATCCATTCCCTTGAGCCCTCCCAGCCTCTCCCGCCTGCGTATTCCTTCCACAAGCGCTCTGGGCCAGCTCCGTGTCGTGTGGGCCAGACTGTGTTCTCATGGAAGCTGTGGTCTAGCAGGGGAAAGAAGTGGCTTCATCAGTGATAGAGCACTTTAGATAGTGCCATGGTGGCCGAGGGTGGAGCTCAGGGGTGTAGCAATGGAGAAAATCAATCAGAGGGGCCTAGGAAGGCCCGGGCGAGGTGTGTGCAACTTTGAACAGGAGGGCTGCTGGTAGGTGGCATTTGACTAAAACTTGTAGAGAGGGAAGGGTGGCTTTATTTTCTCACCCATGTGGATGTCCGCAGCTCGCGTACCCCTCTCCCCTGCTAAGAAGGTCCCCTTCTTCCCCCCCCACCAGCCCTGGGCAGCTTCCAAGGTGGCGCTTACCCACTGTGCAGCAGGGGATGCTCCGAACCCCCAGTCCCCACGTGGGTGTTCTCCCTGTGGCACTGTCCAGGCGTGGCGCTGCCACCGTTCATCCTTCCTAGGTGGGGCAGAAAGCCGAGTCACTGCCTGAAGGCGGTGGCCCGCGGCCTCAGTGCCTCCAATGTCTGTTTCACTTTCCCTTCAGCAGGGAGTGACGTGATTCTTAGCTGTCTGCTGCTTCTTTCTCCGTTTCCCAGGGGGGTTTTCTGATGTGCTCAGACTCGCTGTTCCCCCCCATCAGCACCGCCCTGTGGGGTGGCCTGACTCCCGTGGGCTCTGTGGTCAGGCTCTGCTCCCACRGAATCCCAAGACTGGAGTCCAGGGCTGGCCCAGGGCCGCAGCGGTGGCCTCACCAGCCCAGGGGGTAGAAATGTCCCAGCTGAGGAGGCCCCAGGGGAGCGGCGGTGAGCCCCTCCGACTCAGACCACTGAGGACCCTGCCTTGTGCCTCTCCAGGTGTGGTGCTGAACAGAGACCGGAGGATCTCTTGGGTGAGTGCTGCCGTCCTCCAGCTCCTTCCTGGCTTGCCTGCTGCCGGGTGTTGGTTTTAAGTTGTTCTTCAATGATGCACCTAATATAGACATACACAGTATTCGTCCTTTTAACCGCCTGTGAGGAAGCAGCTGAGTGGAAGTGGTAACCTCTAATTTTGTTTCCAGTCTCCTGGGTTTGCCTATTAGGCACCTCTAAGGGGGATTGTGCCACGTTTGTCCTGTGTCTGGCTTCTTTTTTAGTTGTAGATAGACACAATATCTTTGTTTATTTATTTATATGTGGTACTGAGGATCAAACCCAGAGCCTCACACCTACAAGGCAAGCGCTCTACCACTGAGCTACAGGCCCAGCCCCCAAATCTCCTTTTTAAGGCTGAATAGTATTCCATTGTGTATTCCACATTTTCTGTATCACTCATCTGTTGACCCACACCTGGGCTTCCACCCTTGGGCTACTGTCGATAATGCTGCTGTGAACATGGGGGTATAAGTGTCCATTTGGGTCCCCGCTCTCAGTTCTCTTGGCTATACCAGAGTGGGACTGCTGGGGCACACAGTGACTCTCTGTTTAACCTTTTTCAAAACAATATTTTTATTAGTTGTTGATGAACCTTTATTTTATTATACACATGAGGTGCTGAGAATCGAACCCAGTGCCTCTCACCTGCCAGGCAAGCGCTCTGCCACTGAGCCCCAGCCCAGCCCTCTGTTTAACCTTTTGAGAAACCACAGAATCGCTGATCCCTGCAGTTGCAGAGGGTCTTCTGCAGGCTCCTCCTCCACCGACACTCATCTTGCCTGTTTTTGAGGATGGTGTCCTAGTAGCTGTGCAAGTGCCTCCTCACTGCGGTTTTGACTTGCATTTCTCTGCTGACTAGTGTTGTGAACACCTTGCTGTGTGCTACTGGCCACTTGTCTTCTTTGGTCCATTTTTTAATTGGATTGTGTGGGGTTTTGTTGTTGTTTTAGTTCTGGATCTTAATTCCTTATGAGATATATGACTTGCAAATATTTCCTCCTACTCAATAGCCTATTATTTTTTTTTGGGGGGGGGCGGTTCCAGGGTTTGAACCCAGAGGTTTTTAACCACTGAGCCTCTTCCCCAATGCTTTTTTATATTCTGTTTAGAGACAGGGTCTCCCTAAGTTGCTAAAGGACCTGGCTAAATCATTGAGACTGGCTTTGAACTCACAATCCTCCTGCCTCAGCCTCCTGAGCCACTGGGATTACAGGCCACTACACCTGGCCTCTTCACTTTTTTTTTCCTAGTATTTTTAATTGTAGGTGGACACAATACCTTTTTACTTATTTTTACATGGTGTTGAGGATGGAGCCCAGTGCCTCACACGTGTGAGGCAAGTGCTCCACCACTGAGCCACTTTCTTGATGCACAAAAGTTCTAATTAGGGCTGGGGCTAGGGTGAGAGGTAGAGTGCTTGCCTGTGTGAGGCACTGGGTTCAATTCTCAGCACTGCATATCAATAAGTAAAAAAATAAAGGTCCATTGACAACAACAAAAAAATTTTTTTAAAGTTCTAATTTTTTTTTTTGGGGGGGGTGTCTTTTTTGTTTATTTTTGGTGATTGAACCTAGGGGCTCTTAACCACATCCCCAGTACTTTTTGTTTGAGAGAGGGTCTTGCTAGTTGCTGAGGCTGACCTCGAACTTGCCAATCCTCCTGCCTTAGCCTCCCAAGTCAATGGGATTTCAGGTGTGTGCCACCAAGTCCAGTTATTTATTTTTGGTACCCAGGATTGAACCCAGGGGTGCTTAACCACATCCCCATCCCTTTTGTGTATTTTATTTATTTATTTTTTTTAAAGAGAGAGAGAGAAAATTTTTTAATATTTATTTTTTAGTTATTGGCGGACACAACACCTTTGTTTGTCTGTGGTGCTGAGKATCGAACCCGGGCCGCACGCATGCCAGGCGAGCGCGCTACTGCTTGAGTCACATCCCCAGCCCCTGTGTATTCTATTTAGAGACAGGGTCTTACTAAGTTGCTTCAGCCTTGCTAAGTTGCTGAGGCTGGCTTTGATCTTCCTGCCCCAGTCTCTTAAGCTGCTGGTATTAGAGGCACACACAACTGTGCATGGCTCTAATTTTTTTGCGGGGGGAGTGTACTGGGATTGAACCCAGGGCCTCACACATGCTAGGCAAGGGCTCTACCATCAAGCCACATATCCAGCCCCATCTGATTTGATGAAGTCCAATTTATTTTTGTTATCATCTGTGCTTTTGATATCATGTCCATAGCAGCATTGCCAAATACAGTATCATGAAGGATTTTCTTATTTTCTTCTTCTTTTTGGGGGGAGAGTGTGGGTGCTGGAGATTGAACACAGGGCCTTGTGCATGCAAGGCAAGTACTCTACCAACCGAGCTACATCCCCAGTCCTCAATGTTTCCTTCTAAATAAGTTCTATAGTTTCAGCTCTTAAGTTTAGATCTTTGATGTATCGGAACCACTTTTCTAAATAGTTTTTCCGAATGTTTCAGAAGATTCTGAAGTGTGACATGTCCATAATTAAATTTATACTTTTCTTAGTAGGTTCCTTCGCCTACCCTGCCCCTAGCTATTTTTTTTTTTTCTTGCAGTGCCGGGCATTGAACCCAGAGCCTTGCTCATGCTAGGCGAGCAGTGTACCACTGAGCTATACCCCAGCCTTTTTATTTTGAGACAGGTTCTCACTAAGTTGCTGAGGCTGGCAACTTATAATCCTCCTGTCTCAGTCTCCTGAGTTGCTGGGACTACAGGCATGTGCTATGCTCCTAGACCTCATTTATTTTCTGTCTCAAATGACACATCACCATCTTCTAGGTTCCCAAGCAAAACGATGGCTGCCTGATGTTGGCCCAGTCCCGTACAGACTCCATGTCCTGTGTTGTTTCATTCCTGTTTTAGGGCTTTCTGTTATGTTTACATAAATGATTGCAGAGTGAAAGGAGCCAGCAACAAAAGGTGACTCTACTTGAAAAATCAACCCACAGGGCTGGAGGCCAGAGTAGTGCTCTCCTTAAAGAAAAGCCCTGGAGCAAGTTGGAGGGCAAGGGCCCATTGTCTTGGCCGAGTCAAGGTTACATGTGTATGTACACAGGGAAAGGCCATCAGGAGCTGACTGTCCAGCCTGGGCTTTGCTATAGGTTATACTTTAATTATTTTTAAAAACTGATCAGGAAATGAAGCTAACAAAATCTAAAAAGAGGTGTGGAGGAAGAGAGAGGGAAAAGACAGAAAGGGGAATGATACACCCAGCAGCCCCCTGGCCGCAGATGCTCTCATGGAGAAAGGGCCTGTTGCTGGTTGGGAAACTGCTGCAGAAACATAAGCCTGTGTTGCTCCCACCTCCAGAGACACGAKTGGAGAGAATGTCCCTCCATCCCTCCCTGGGAGATCAAGTTAAATTCAGCGAGGGCCTCACTGTGCCCTGGAGCTAGACAGCCCCAATCTTAGCAAGAACAGGAGTGTTAGAGAGGCTCAGCCTGAGCTTGAGTCCTGGCGCCATCTCCTGTTAGCTGTCAGCTGTGACCAAGTTCCTGGCCTCTGGGATCTAGCCTGCCTTCTGGAAAGCGCTTGCTTTAATGTTTGCCTGAGTGTGGGCCTTGTGTAAGATGTGGAAACCTGCTTTGGGAAAAGCACCAGAGGTCGTTTTAGTCATGAAAAGCAGGAAATGGCTGGAAGAGCCTCAGGACAGAGTTTTTTGTGGCCATGACCAAATCCTCAGGATTTTTTTCCCCTTTTATGTGGTGCTGGGGCTGGAACGCAGGGCCTTGTACATGCTGGGCAAGGGCTCCACCACTGGGCGACACCCACAGTCCCCAGAGGGATTTTATGTTCATTGTGGTGGTGAAGAACCTTAAGGAAGGCTTACTGCCATCAGTCCTCAAGGGAGCTTTCTTGAATCGATCGAGGCACCTGTACTTCTCTGTCACCACATGCTGAGAGGTACAAACATGGACAAAATTTGAGAGCTCCTGTCTCTGAAAGTTCTCAGACTAGAGTGCCAGGCCAGTGGTGAGCCTCATGCAATAAAATTTTCTAGAAGCCCTAAGAGTAAAAAGAAAGCAGGGCTGGGGTTGTGACTCAAACGGAAGCGCGCTTGCCTGGCATGCGCGTGGCTCTGGGTTCGATCCTCAGCACCACATAAAAATGAAATAAAGATGTTGTGTCCACTGAAAACTAAAAAATAAATATTAAAAAATTCTCTAAAAAAAAGCAGGCAAATTAATCGTGGTTCTGGGGACCAAGCAGAGGGCTAGCACATACTAGGCAAGCTCTATTCCACAGAGCTACCTGCCCCAGACCAACTGTAATATTTTTATTTAACTCATCCAAGATGCTGTCATTTCAAGACATGATTGACATCAAAGTTGTTATTTTTCCAGTTGAGTCCCAAACCCAGCAGCATTTCACAACAGGGCACCTCAATAGCCCTAGGACTGGTGGTCACAGCACTGGACAACACAGCCTAGACACACTCAGTGGTCATGACAGGATGGTCAGGGCTGTGGTGGAAGCCAGCAGAGGCTGGGGTGAAGTCACTCTGCACTGTGATCCAAGCAAGTTCCTTTCTCGTGGAGAGGTCTCATGAAGGTCCGGGGCTCTGTCTGGTGTCCAGGTGACAAGGTACAGGGCAGCCTGTGTAGTAAGAAGGGGGCTGTGAGGACCACACCTCAGTTCTAAGATCTAGGTCCAGAAGTACCCTGAGTCACTTCCCTGCCTTCAGTCAAATGGCCACACAGCTGAAAAGGGCTCAGGCAACAGTCTGGCCGGCAGCCATGAGCCAGGGAGGAGACAAGAACAGATGTGGGAAAGTGGGAGGCCTGGCAGAGGTGCCATGGTGGGGCTGGGCTTGGTCTGGAGCAGGTGCTGAGGTGACCTCACCAGGACCAGGACTGCAGGGCTCCTTGCCACAAGGATTCACCCTGGCTTTGTCCCTACAGCCGCAGTACAGCTTTGACTTCGTCAGCAGGGAGGTGTTCACGAACTCCATCCAGCAGCTGCAGGCCCGCGTCCTGCTTGTCAAGTAAGTCGGACCCACCACCCTTCAGTGGTTGGCACCAGCCACCCCCATCATAAGTCAGCTTCCCCAGACACCTGTGGGAAGGTGTGCGGTCTTCCTGGGGAAACCTGAGGTGCCGTGGTTCTTTGGAGGCTTTGACTTTCCGTTGGTGCACAAGTAGAAACTGCACTTGGGACTCTGTACTTTTCCTGAGCTAGCAACACGCAACCTCATTCTCCCGACACTGGGCAGTGGCAGCACCCAGTAGGCCCTGAGATCACAGGGAAACTAGCAGCACCTACAGTGCTTGGGTGTTTGGCAGGCTTGGCGTAATCGAGGCATTTTCCACCTGCCATGGAGCCATAGGGACATAACCCGACCATGAACTGAGGCGAATCTGTACTAAAACCATTAAGTGGTACATTTTCAATAGGATGACTGTATGGTGGGTATGTTGTAGCTCAACAAATCTTAAAAAATAAAGCAAAGCCTGACCTTAGGTGGGCACAGTGGCATACTCCTGTAATCCTAGTGACCAGGAGGCTAAGGCAGGAGGATCACAACTTTCAGGCCAGCTGCAGCAACTTGGCAAGACCCTGTCTGAAAATAAAAAATAAAAAGGGGTGCAGATGTAGCCCAGTAGTAAAGCACTTAAGCTCAATATCCAGCCCCAGCATTCAGTGGCTGTGACCCTGGGCAGTCATGTAACCCTGACCCCCCGAAAAGTCAGTCTGGCCTGTGGCTCATACTGAATGACTGTGCTCAATAAATCTAAGCTTAAAGGGAACCAGCTGTGGGAAAGTCAGAGGTAGCAGGTAGCCCAGACCTGGTGTCTTCCAAGGCATTGCTGGGAGGCAGGGTCCAAGGGGTAACCCATTTCTTCTTGCTTCCAGAGCAGCACAAGGATACAGTGATGTGAGACGGGAGGATGGTGCCAACACGGAGACCCTGATGTTTATGCTGGACACAATGAGATCCATCCTAAAAGAGGTAACAGCTGGGCACTGTGGTGCATACCACCAATCCCCGCAGCCTGTGAGGCTGAAGCAAATCACAAGTTCAAAGCTAGCCTGAGCAACTTAGGGAGACCGTCTCAAAAAAGGACTAAGGATGTAGGTCTGAAGCCTGGAGACAGGAGGGCAGAGAGCACTGTAGGAAGCAGTGCATCCCTGGTTCAAATGCTACTACCTTTAAAAAAAAAAAAAAAAAAAAAAAAGGCAACATGTGGAGGCTCAGGGAGCTGGTGTCCAGGCCATGCTCACCTGCCCAGGCCCACGTGTCCTGGGGAACTAGTGGCCTCAATCCCCACTGTGGCCAGTCCAAGTTCAGGCAAGAGGCCTTTCATTAGCACAATCTTCTAGTTTTATTGTTCTCACATGTGTCCCCTAGGCCAGGCACAACTCGGCCCATCTGCCACAGCCCCACTCGCCTCCACTAGTCCTGCTAGTGGGTGGGGCTTGTGCTATGACCCGGACCCCTGGGAGCACCAACACTTTGTGATCATTATCCACACAAATACCCAAGTCTGGGGCAACTGTACCCCCTCACAAAAGGGCAGCCCTCCCATGGGTGCAGGTGAGAGCTGTGGCCAGGCCTCCCTGGTTGGTGTTCCCTCAGGGACTTGCCAGTGCTATGACCTCACTTCTCCAGGGGACCTCACCTGTCAGGATCACCGGCAACCCTGACAGAGGCCTTCCCCCACTCAGTGCTACAGCTTCACAACTCAGATGGTCCTCAACCCAGGTGGCCTGAGTCCCTAGGGTCTGAGGAGCCCCAGCATGCTGGGAACACTGGGATCCCCAGGGAGTGCCTGGCCCACTGGGAAGCAGTAGGCCAAGGGAGGGCACAATTGAGTTCCTGGGCTCAATGGCCACAGGTGGGMACTGCTGCTTCCTTTGGCCACACCTCACGACCCTCCCTTCCTCCAGCGGTTCCAGTTTGTTCAAATCCCCGGCAACCATTATGTCCACATGAATGCTCCCCACCTCGTGGCCAACGTCGTCAGCCCCTTTTTACAGAGCAAACGCAGGATCCCGGCCCAGCTGTAGCCTGGGCCTGGGCTACGGACATCTCACTCTCACGCCAGTCAGCCTCCACGTGGCTGGCATGGTGGCAACAGGCCTTCCTGAAAACCAAGATGAACAGGAGAGAATCCTGTGATGGAGGTGGGGGAAGGGGCAAGATTCTGACATTAACATCTGAGACTTCAGGGGGACAGCATTTAGACTTAGGGTGTCCATTTTGTAGTTAATGACCTGTAGTGAGCTGCTACAGGCAGAAGGAAGCTTGCCTGTCATTTGGTGGCTTCTGAAGCCTTCTCCACTGCCAGCCTGGATACACAATAAAATGTTCTTGCCTTCCTCCTGCCTTCGAGGCTGTTCCATGGCCAGCAGGGGGTTCCGTTGAGGAGAAGGGGAGACACAAGCAGTTACTTGTTTTCCTGACAGGCAGGAACCACTTCTGAGGGCCACATCTTCCTGCTGTGCTCCAACATGCTTCAGCACAGGGACCCGGGGTGAGCCTGTCCTTTGCTTCCAGCCCATGCAGACCTGATGGGGCCAGGCCRCAGGACACAGTGGCCCTTTGGCCTACTGTCTTGCTTTACAGAGCACAATCTCAGGCCAGCAGGCCCCGTGTCCTCACTGGCCAGGCCCTGTACTCCGGGTCACAGCCTGGCAGGCTCAGTAGGGTCGGAATTTGCGCTGGGCCCGCATCAGCTCAATCCTCTGCTTGTCCTCTTCGAACTTCTTGCGCAGCTGTGCAAGGTCTGTGGTGTGAGAGGTCACAGAACAGGGTCAGGCAGCATCCTGTGGGAGACACCCGCTGCCCCCACTGAGAGTGCTGGCACACCCCTCACTTCCCAGGGTCGGGGGGTTCCACCAGGCCTCCCCTCCCTGCCCGCTTTGGGTCATGGTCTGGATTCTGCAAGGAATCAGAACACAGTACTTGACTGCAGACCAGGTCAGAGGCAAGGCTCAGGCAGGAGGTGACATGCCAGAGTTTTGAGGTTAGAAATGCACCAATGAGAAGCCCAAAGAAAACAAAAAGATCCACATGCCTACTCCACCCCCAGGTGAAGGAGTCCAGGTGCCTCCCTCTCCAGCCCTAGGGCCACCAAATTCAGATGGTGACTAGTCAATGAATGATCTAGGTCAAAGGGTAGGGGGGGATCTGGAGTCTAAAGGAGAGAAGGCCGATGGAGGCCATGAGGTAAAGTTCAGGATCTGGAGAGAAGAAAAGGACCAGTACAGGAGAAGGGTCAGTGCAGCAGTGAGTCTCAGAGTGCGCCAGCAACAGGGCTGGGGGTCAAGACAGCTGCAGAGCCCACCCTCCAGCTCAGGCCAGGACCCTCTCCTCCGACCACACACAGCTGACCTACAGGACAGCTGAGACAGCAAGAGACCAGGACAGTGGAGGAGGGAGCTTAGCAGCAGCACCAAAAGCAAACCACAGGTGAAGAGATGGTGAACCGCAGAGAGCCCCAGGGCCCCCCTGGCCTTCTCTACAGCTCAGCGACTCTGGAGATCACCTCCAGACTTCTTGCTGGCTGGAGGCTAACAGGTTCCAGCAGTAAGGGCTCAGGGGCTTGGAGGTGGGTCCCCATCCCAGATGCCTCTGTGGGTATGAATAACCCCACCCACCACTCCTGGGCAAATGCAGCTGCCCCTGGGAAGCAGGAGAGTGCTGCCAGGCTGGAACTCTAAGCCCAGAGCGCATGTCCAAGGATGCACTCCCATCCCAACCCACAAGGCCATCTCCTGCCTTGGAGGAGGCCCTTACGCTCCATCTTGGTCTCCCGATGCTGCCAGGCATAGAAGTTGAGCAGCTCCTTGCGTGCACGCTTCCGTTTCTCCTTCTCCAGCACYCGCAGGCTGGCTGCCTCAGTTCGTGGAAGCACAGGCCGCCGACCCCGGCGGGTCACCTTCACCCAGCCCTCCTCATCAGGGACTCCCTCCTCCTCCTTGGCCTTCTCCTCCTCCTGCAAGGAATGGCACCCTGCTTTTGCACCCTGCTGACCCATGGCAGGACTCCTCTGCAGGACAGTGCTCCTGACCCCTCCAAAGCCTCGAGGGACGGAACCTCCCATCCTCCTCCAGTAGTCAGACCCGCCCTGGCAGGTCCTGCTAGCACTCAGCCCCATGGTGCAGGGCACAGGCTGAGTATGGGGACAGGGCACCCAGGTGCCAATGCTGCTCCTCCCCCACCCCCCTACAGACCATCTATATTCAACGTCACCAAAGATTCAGTAGAGAAAGCCTGGACCCATATGGTGACCAAGGACAGGCTGTCCCCCGTGGGAGTCACATCACATACTTGCAGCCCCACCCTCCCACAGGGAGGCAGTGTCCCTTTACCGCAGCAATCTTCTGATCGTAGGCCTCCATGAATGTGTCCACCTCAACTCTCAGGGCCTCAGGGTCAGTCACTGAATCTGCATAGTCACTGATCCACTCTGGGGGATGGGGAGACAAGGAGACCAGCTGCCTCAGGCCTGCCGGGTGTCAGGACTTTCTGACACAGGCTGCAAGGCCTCGAGACCTGTGGGCAAGTGCTGAGATTCTAGGGGCAACAGGCTGGGTCTCCACCTTTGTCCACCTGGTGCTGAAGTTCCAGGCTAGCATCTCCTGACGCACCCCAACTAGCCCTGTCTGCCTGCGTCTCCCTCGCACTGCCCTCAGGGAGCTGGCTAAGGCTGTGGCACCCAGAGGCTGCTCCCAGAAAGCTTCCCTCACCAACCCTGGGCCCAGAAAGGAGGTGCTATAGCACTGACTATGAATGCCACTCTTCACAGGGTGACTCTCCGTAGAGACCAGCAAAGGGCCCTTCAGGGTCAAGGCGGCCGACACTCCACTTGGCTTCTGGAACACCACGTAGGCTACTTGGAATCCCTGGGGGAAGAGAGAAGTCCGAGTGGGGGAGCCCTACCCACACCAGCACAAGTTCCCACACCTGCCCTCACCTAACCTGTTGCTGGGCCAGGGAAGAGTTTAGGTGGGGGACAGTCACACTCAGTTACCCAACTGCTGCTGGAAGGGAGACTCATTCCCAGCTCTTCCTCCAAGGACAGGGGATACACGGGACATTTCTTCCAGTTTCAGGAAGGAGTCAGTGAAAAGTGGGTTCAACCTTAGGGCAGGCTCGTGGAAACCAGGCCCAGAGAGGGCACTCAACCGGTCAGACTCTCCTGTGCTGGGAGAAGGCGTCAGGTCCAGGCACTTGGGAAAACATGGAAGGCATAGTGCTCCTGGAGACCAAACCCTGGCCTGAGGAGGACTCTACCTCAGGGAGAAGCAAGCAGGGAGCCCAGGGGGCCTGCAGGAGAGTGCAGAGATGGCCCCGAAGCTCTAACATGGAGAATGGAAACCACCAGGCAGGAAGTCCAAAGATGTTGCACAGCTGGCTCCTAGACCAATTGGAACTATGGAGGTTGGGAATGTCTACTATAGGACTACAGGACATGCTCTCAGAGTCCCACTGCCAACCTCTGCACCTACATACACACCTCCATCCCCTACACAAGGGACACTAATTGCCCCCACCCCGCCTTGTGCTGCCATTCCAGTGGAACCTGGAACTTGAAGGCCTACCGGAATGGGCGTAGGGTGAAAAAACTTAGACTTGGGTTCCTTTGCGCTCTCAGCAAGGTCCGGCTTCTCCTGCAACTCCACAGACTGGACAGTGCCACAGGGGGACAGCAGACGAGTCAGGCACTCCTGCCACGGCCAGAGGGAAGCACAGGGTGAACATTCACAGGGCTTTCCCCAGAGCTTCCCCTACACCTGGGTGGACAGTCACATCTTTTAAAAAGGGATCCCAAAGGACCAAGAGCCCAAGTCTACCCAACCAAGAAAGCCAGGGTGCCATGTCCAGTTCCCACATTCCCAACCTCCATAATAAGAAAGGTGGGGACACTCCTGATATTATTCTTCTAAGACAATTAAGTTAAATGAGAGTCAAATTTAGGGGCTATGAATACAGCTCAGTTGGTAGAGGGCTTGCCTAGCATGCACAAGGCTGTGGATTCAATCCCCAAGCACCACCAAAGAAAAGAAGGAGTCAAATCTACACTTTCAGAATCAAGATGGTGATGATCCGAAGCAGAAAGGGCATGAGGGAACATCTGGGGTGTGGTGATGTTTATCAATTCACACACTGATTATGTATGTAGCCATGTTCAATTTGTGGAATGCATCAAGCTATTCACCTATAGCCTGCGCCCTTCTCTCAACATTTGCTACACTTTAGTAAAGGTTATCTCTCATTAAGTTGCTGAGGCTGGCCTTGAACTTGTGATCTCCTGCTTCAGCCTCCCAAGTTGCTAGGATTATAGGAATATGCCACCAAGCTTAGCTAGGTTAACTTTCTTCTTAATGCTTCTTTCTCCCTTGACCTTAAGAGGAATCTTTTAGAAGTAGAGTGCTTGCCTCACATGCAGCACAAGGCCCTGGGTTCAATCCCCAGCAAAACAGACAGACAGACACACACACACACACACACACACACACACCAAAAAAAAAAAATTTTTTTCTTCTGAAAAAAAATTCATTCAAAATCCAGCAGCTCCCTGTTTTACTTCTATAAATGTATGTAATACTAAATTTAATACTTTCTGTGGAAAAAATTAAGGTGTTTCGAGACAGAATTAGAGGTAATTTTTATTTTCTTACATTTTTCTTCAACTCCCATGGATAGGTGAAGCACTCAGCCCCATTTTTTTAAAAAAATATTTTTTTAGTTATAGTTGAGCACACCTTTATTTTATTTGTTTATTTTTGTGTGGTGCTGAGGATCAAACCCAGTGCCTTGCATGTGCTAGGCAAGTGCTCTACCGCTGAGCTATAACCCCAGTCCAGATAGGTATCATTTTTACATTCAAGAAAGAACAATGTGGACTGGGGTTGTAGCTCAGTGGAAGAGTGCTTGCCTAGCGTATGTGAGGCATGGGTTCGATTCCCAGCACCACATATAAATAAATAAAATAAAGATCCACCAACGATTAAAAAATATTTTAAAAAATAAGAAAGAACAATGTAATTCAACAATTCTGGGTAACATATCCCTCAAATAATTTTTTAAATTTTATTTTTTAGTTGTACACAATACCTTTGTTTTATTTCTTTTTATGTGGTGCTGAAGATCAAACCCAGGGCCTCACACATGCTAGGCAAGCTGTCTACTGCTGAGCCACAACTCCAGCCCTCAAATTATATTTTTAAAATATAATTAAAGCGGGGCTGGGGATGTAGCTCAAGCGGTAGCGCAATCGCCTGGCATGCGTGCAGCCCGGGTTCGATCCTCAGCACCACATACCAACAAAGATGTTGTGTCTGCCGAGAACTAAAAAATAAATATTAAAAATTCTCTCTCTCTCTCTCTCACTCTCTCTTTAAAAAAAAAA